TCGTCGCAGCAATATTGATCGTAGTAGTAGCAGTCGTAGAAATAGTCGTAGTAGTAGTAGTAGTAGTAGTAGTAGTAGTAGTAGTAATAGTAGTAGTAGAAGTAGTAGTAGTAATAGTGATGGTGGTAGTAGTAGTACTAGTAATAGTCGTAGGTAAGAGTAGTCGTAGTAGTAGTTCTAGTAGTAGTGATAGTAGTAGTAGTCGCAAAAGAGGAAGAAGTAGTAGTAGTAGTAATAGGAGTAACAGTAGTAATGGTCGTCGTCGTAGTCGTAGTATATAGTAGTAGTTACAGTAGTGGTACTCGTAGTAGTAGTAGTAGTAGTAGTCGTAGTAGTAGTAGTAGTCGTAGTAGTAGTAGTAGTAGTAGTAGTAGTAGTAGTAGTAGTAGTAGTAGTCGAACTAGTAGTAGTGATAGTAGTAGTAGTAGTAGTAGTAGTAGTAGTAGTAGTAGTAGTAGAGTAGTAGTACTAGTTAGTTAAGTAGTAGTAGTAGTAGTAGTAGTAGTAGTAGTAGTAGTAGTAGTAGTCGTAATAGAAGTAGTAGTAGTAGTAGTAGTCGTAGTAGTAGTAGTAGTAGTAGTAGTAGTAGTAGTAGTAGTAGTAGTAGTAGTAGTGGTAGTAGTAGTAGTAGTAGTAGGAGTAGTAGTAGTAGTAGTAGTAGTAGTAGTAGTAGTAGAAATAGTAATCACATGTTTATTCCCAACCCTCCTTGGTTGGGCATTCGTTTTGAATAGAGCAGTGTGGTCGCGTCCCTCCTCCCTCCCTTCCTCCCTCCCTGCCTCTTCCTGTCTTGCCTGCGGGGGGCTGCGATCTGTGAAACTGTCGCCATTTTCGAGGCCTGCTGGGGGGCCCAGCACAGTGAGGGCCACGGGCAGATTCAAATTAGACCTCGCCATCCCTGGGGGGGCTGCGCTCTGTGAAACTGTCGCCATTTTCGAGGCCTGCTGGGGGGCCCAGCACAGTGAGGGCCACGGGCAGATTCAAATTAGACCTCGCCATCCCTGGGGGGCTGCGATCTGTGAAACTGTCGCCATTTTCGAGGCCTGCTGGGGGGCCCAGCACAGTGAGGGCCACGCGCGGATTCAAATTAGACCTCGCCATCCCTGGGGGGCTGCGATCTGTGAAACTGTCGCCATTTTCGAGGCCTGCTGGGGGGCCCAGCACAGTGAGGGCCACGCGCAGATTCAAATTAGACCTCGCCATCCCTGGGGGGCTGCGATCTGTGAAACTGTCGCCATTTTCGAGGCCTGCTGGGGGGCCCAGCACAGTGAGGGCCACGGCGGATTCAAATTAGACCTCGCCATCCCTGGGGGGCTGCGATCTGTGAAACTGTCGCCAGTTTCGAGGCCTGCTGGGGGGCCCAGCACAGTGAGGGCCACGGCGGATTCAAATTAGACATCGCCATCCCTGGGGGGCTGCGATCTGTGAAACTGTCGCCATTTTCGAGGCCTGCTGGGGGGCCCAGCACAGTGAGGGCCACGGGCAGATTCAAATTAGACCTCGCCATCCCTGGGGGGCTGTGAAACTGGGAGGCGCGCTGGGGGGCCCAGCACAGTGCTTCTTCAAATAGACCTCGACATCCCTGGGGGGCTGCGATCTGTGAAACTGTCGCCATTTTCGAGGCCTGCTGGGGGGCCCAGCACAGTGAGGGCGACGCGCGGATTCAAATTAGACCTCGCCATCCCTGGGGGGGCTGCGATCTGTGAAACTGTCGCCATTTTCGAGGCCTGCTGGGGGGCCCAGCACAGTGAGGGCCACGGGCAGATTCAAATGAGACCTCGCCATCCCTGGGGGGCTGCGATCTGTGAAACTGTCGCCACTTTCGAGGCCTGCTGGGGGGCCCAGCACAGTGACGCCACGGGCAGATTCAAATTAGACCTCGCCATCCCTGGGGGGGCTGCGATCTGTGAAACTGTCGCCATTTTCGAGGCCTGCTGGGGGGCCCAGCACAGTGACGCCACGCGCAGATTCAAATTAGACCTCGCCATCCCTGGGGGGCTGCGATCTGTGAAACTGTCGCCACTTTCGAGGCCTGCTGGGGGGGCCAGCACAGTGAGGGCCTAGATCTCTGAAACCCGCCATCCCTGGGGGCTGTGATCTGTGAAACTGTCGCCATTTTCGAGGCCTACTGGGGGGCCCAGCACAGTGAGGGCCACGCGCGGATTCAAACTAGGCATCGCCATCTCTGGGGGGGCTGCGACCTGTGAAACTGTCGCCACTTTCGAGGCCTGCTGGGGGGCCCTGCACAGTTACGCCACGGGCATATTCAAACGAGACCTCGCCATCCCTTGGGGGCTGCGATCTGTGAAACTGTCGCCATTTTCAAGGCCTGCTGAGGGGCCCGGCGCAGTGACGCCACGGGCAGATTCAAATGAGACCTTGCCATCCACTGGAGGCTGCGATCTGTGAAACTGTCGCCACTTTCGAGGCCTGCTGGGGGGCCCGGCGCAGTGACGCCACGCGCGGACCCAAATTAGACCTCGCCATCCCTGCGGGGCTGCGATCTGTGAAACTGTCGCCACTTTCGAGGCCTGCTGTGATCACCATTTTCGAAGTGGCTAGGAGTGCTCAGGAATTGTAACTCATCAGCTTTATCAAGCCCTTTTCCTGTAGCCAGTGTCCTGCGAGTCTCCCGAATTCCGTCTGCAGACATATGCAAACCCTCGCTCCGTCATCGCCCCCTTTATAAAGTATCCTAAACTATTTGCGCCCCGCTTTTGCGCAGGGGTTGGGTACGTCGCCAGGGTAATTATTATTATTATTCGTAGTAGTAGTAGTAGTAGGAGTAGTATTAGTAGTAGTATTAGTAGTAGTTAGTAGTAGTAGTAGTAGTAGTAGTAGTAGTAGTAAGTAGTAGTAGTAGTAGCCGCCGTAACACATTATTATTACTATTATTAGCAATGGTAGTCGTAGTAGTAGTAGTAGTAGTAGTAGTAGTAGTAGTAGTAGTAGTAGTAGTAGTAGTAGTAGTAGTAGTAGTAGTAGTAGTAGTAAGTAGTAAGTAGTAGTAGTAGTAGTAGTAGTAGTAGTAGTAGTAGTAGTAGTAGTAGTAGTAGTAGTAGTAGTAGTGGTGGTAGTAGTAGCAGTAGTAGTAGTAGTGTTCGTCGTCGTAGCAGAAGTAGCAGTAGGATTGGTAGTAGTAGAAGTAGAAGTAGAAGTAGAAATAGAAGTAGTAGTAGTACTAGTAGTAGTAGCCGTCGTCGTCGTCGTCGTCGTCGTCGTCGTCGTAGTAGTAGTAGTAGTAGTAGTAGTAGTAGTAGTAGTAGTAGTAGTAGTAGTAGTAGTAGTAGTAGTAGTAGTAGTAGTAGTAGTAGTAGTAGTAGTAGTAGTAGTAGTAGTAGTAGTAGTAGTAGTAGTAGTAGTAGTAGTAGTAGTAGTAGTAGTAGTAGTAGTAGTAGTAGTAGTAGTAGTAGTAGTAGTAGTAGTAGTAGTAGTAGTAGTAGTAGTAGTAGTAGTAGTAGTAGTAGTAGTAGTAGTAGTAGTAGTAGTAGTAGTAGTAGTAGTAGTAGTAGTAGTAGTAGTAGTAGTAGTAGTAGTAGTAGTAGTAGTAGTAGTAGTAGTAGTAGTAGTAGTAGTAGTAGTAGTAGTAGTAGTAGTAGTAGTAACAGAAGTAGTAGTACTAGTAGTAGTAATACACATGGTACACATCGGATCTAACACAAGCATGTGGGGCTCCTCGGTAGCGAAGTGGCCTTTAGGTTGTTCAAGGATTTGGGCGTTCTCATCGGTTCGGCTTCCTGGAGCTCAAGGACCGCCCACATCGCCCCAAGACGGCCCAAGAGGCCTCCAAGAGAGCCCCAACAGGGCCCAAGAGGGCCCAAGAGGCCTCCAAGACGGCCCAAGATATCCCCAGGACGGCCCCAAGAGGGGGCCAGACGGCCAGACGGGGAACCCGAACGGACATGTCGAGCCCTCGGCCCCAAGAGGCGCCCCGGAGGCCCCAAGAAGCCCCCACGAGCCCCCAAAGATGCTCCAAGAGGCCCCCAAGAGGCCCCAAAAGAGTCTCCCAAGTCTCTCAACAGGCCCCCAGGAAGCCCCAAGAGGCCCCCAAGAAGCCCCCAAGAGGCTCCCCAGAGGCTCCTTCCGAAGAAACCCCAAGAAGCATCCATGACGACTTTGACCCCCAACCCAGGTACGTTTCGAAACTCTTCCAGAGCTCTCTTGAGCCATCTTGGCGCCCTCTGGGGCAGTCTAACGGCTCCCTTCGACAGCTTCGAGTGTGCGAGCCACATCTCCAAAGACCTCCTCGAAGATCGTACTGCCCTGTCCCTGGGCACGAGCACACCACCACGCAGCCACAGTGATGCGAAACTGGCCAGCGGAATGAGCGAAGCGATTAAACAATTGTGGTGCTAAGTACAGAACAAGAACCCGAGAATCCTGGGAAGTCCCAGAAGGATATCATTTCCTTCTACGGGTTCATAAGGTTCGGCAATCCGAAAAGGAAATTGGAAGACGTCCCATCCAGCAACACCGTCGCCTCCTCCAGCCTCCTTCTCCTCCTCCCCCTCTACATCGTCACTGCCTTAGCTCCTTTCCTCGCCGCCCTGATCGTAAGCCTTCTCGGCGTCGCCGTCGCCGTCGTTCTCGTCGTCCTCCTCCTCGTCCTTCTTCTCCTTCTGTTCCCCGCCCCTCATCCTCGCCATCGTTTCTCCTCGATCTGCTCTCAGAGCCCCGCAACGCCAGCTCCTGACGCACGGGACCTCGAGATGCCCCCAGCTCCCTCGATTGCCCGGGCGGGCGAAAGGGCGCACGGAGAGCAGGGGGGAGGGAGGAGCGGGACCGCGGAGGACAGAGAGCGGAGGCGAGCGGGGCGGGGAAGCGGCAGACCGGGCGGGGAAGATGCAGGAGGCCCCGGCCCTTTCCCCGGGGACGGCTTTTCATTCCGAGTCGTCGCTTGTCGGTGCCGGGGAGATCGAGGCGAGGCCTGCGTCTCGACCCGTTCCAGGCGTTGCAGGTCTGGGGGGCTCCTCCTCCTCCCGCACTCCCCTCCCAAGAACCACGCCACTTTCTCCGGCAGCGGCACCACCGCCCGCGCCAGGGCCGACCGCTCGGAGACGCCGCTCCTGCTGGCGGGATCGACCCTCAAGCCTCAACTGGTCAGTCGAAAGCGCCGTCCTTGCCAAGGTCACCTGCCTAGGCATCCAAAGCCCCGAACAAGAACAAGGGGGGTGTTGTTCGTCGTAGTCGGCCTGCGCGGGCCCTCTCGCCCGGCCTTGCATCTGGCAGCAACACGGCTCAGGATGAAAAGCCGGCCCGCGGGCAGGGGCCAGGACTTCTGGTACCCAATCTTGAGAAAAGCAAGACATCGGATGTCTGGATAACGTCGCGCTCCGCGCCACACGAGGTGCGAACCGCGAGTACAGTGGGCGGGCCAAAGAAGACACTGGCCGTCCAATGAGTGCCCCAAGAGTACTCTTATCTCCCGATGGGCTTGCATACCCCTGGGGCACCTTGCAAAGCTCAGAGTCGGTGAAGGGTGCGCCTCTATATTTCTTATCGCACAATTTCTGGTTGTTCGTGTCTACTGTGTGATCGCGCTCTCAAGCGGCTCTTCCGAAGGGCCGGGAATGCTTGCCACTCCCGCGGGCTGCCCTGGCCTGTCCCCCCCCCCGCACTTGACGCCTGAAGGTGGCTCCAATATCGCACAAGAGAGTCCCAAGAGGGGCCCATCGGGGCTCCAAGACGGCCTGGACAGCACCCAAGAGCGCCTCAAGAGCTTCCTAAGAGGGCCTCAAGGCGACGTTTCGTGCTCAAGAGAGGTGGGGGTCAAAAGGCCCACCATCTTGTGATGAACAACCGCAATGCACAAACATTGAACGCTTTTACCCTCTCGGAGGCATCCCTGGGACGCTGCTGGCCCGAGATGGCTCGACTATGGCTCGAAATGGCCTCCGAGATGAAGCCAGATCAGAGGTTGAGGTGTGAGATCGCAGTGGAACGGAATCCCCCACCAGGAAATCATCGGTTTCGGCTCCGTGTCGTGCGTGCGGGCAAGGCGGAGCTGCGTGGGCGCGCGAGAGGAATGACCTTGCCGTCGCTAGGGCGACTCGGATGCAGATGGCCGCCCCTCCGCCCGCGGCGGGCGCGCGGCGGCCCTGGGTGTCCCGCCGCGGTGTCCTGTGGTGTCCTGTTGCGGTGTTCCGTTGGTGTGTGTCGTCGGTGTTCCGTCGGCGGTGGGCGGGCGGTGGCCGAGGGTGTCCCGCCTCGGTATTGATAGTGGAATCGATAATGAGACCGGTGATGAGACCGCTGGATGGGATGGATCGTGAGGTCAAGAGTGAGATTGACAGTCAGGTTGATCATGACAGTGGTTGTAAGATAGACAGTGGGGGTGACAGTGTCATTACGTCGCAGCGCAGCATCGTCATCACGCGTCGTCGCTAACTCGAGGGCGCTTTACCAGCATCGTCAGCATCACACCCATCGCACTTGCCAGCAATTGGTTCTTCCCCCCCGACCCCCAACCTCTTTATCACCCGAAGGGTGGTCGTATAGGTGTGATCCAAAGTTGCACGTCCCCTCCACCAAATTGCATATCGGATCAAGCCCCCCCTGCTGGATCAGGACTGAACTTTAACGGTGTTTTTCGTTTTCGTTTTGTTTTCGTTCCCCTCGTTTTGTCTTCAATGCGCCTTTACCGCAAAACGAAGTCGACGCGAAAACGGCCCACGAAATAGCCAAAACACCGTTTAGGCCCACCCCTGTGCTGGATGGTTACGCCCGCGAGCCTCGCGAAGGCCTCGCGAAGGAGGTCGCTCCCCCACCCCCCAGTGGTCATGTCCCCGTGGACGTGGCATGGTGGAGGGTGCCAGTGCACCCCCCTCCCTCCTCCAGTGGATGTGGTCGTTGTCTTCGTCGTCGTTGTCGTCGTCGGCGTCGCCCCCCCCCCCCCCCCCCCCCCCCACACATCCCAGCTGGGGGGGGTACACGTGGAACCCTGGGGCCCATCCCATCTAGGTGGGGGGGGGCTGGGAACCCGACCCAAGCTAACATATTCCCAAAGTGCCCTAGACCGTCTCCAAGATGCCTCGAAGCGGCCACGGAGTCTTCCCAGGATACCCTCAATAGACCCACATCATTCCAACACCTTAGGACAATACACGATGTGTGGATTCTCGCACTCGCGCTTCTAGTGGGCATTTGGGAACTCAAGATGGCTCCAAGATGGCCCCACGGAGCGCCAGCACGGCCCCAAAAGCGCCCAAAAGGAGCCCAGAAGCAGGGCACCAATCCGCGGCGACCCTGTCTTTCTGCTTTTGATTGGCAGCTCCCACCAAGGCCCCCAAGACCCCCAAAAAGGCACCCGTAGAACCCGAAATGCCTGCATACTGGCCAGTAAGAAGCAAGTCGCGTCCTCCCCAAGCAAGGCAACACACACGAAAAGCCTCCTATCCGAAGCCCTCCCCACGCAAGCTGCCAGAAGGCCCCCTCATCGAAAGATCCGCGAAAGCATCTATGGTTGACAACTGGGCCAGCTCGGGCTGATTCTAGGGAAAATTTGACGTGACGGCTGCCCGCTTTGTTTCGTCGCTTCTGCCTACACTTCCCTGCGCAAGGCATCTCGCCTGGGCATCGTGTATGGATCTGCTTTGGGGGACATGCATCGACACGTCACACATAATAGCGGTCGTTCTGGAAACTTCTAGAAACGTAGCCGTGCAAGTTGTAATGGTATGCCGTCGTATTCTGAAGTTGGTGCATGGGGGGAGGACGCGGAAGAGGAGGAGAGAGAGGAGGCGGAGGACGGAGGGAGGAGCAGCAGGAACGCGGGCGTGCCGAAGACTGCCGGCGAGCCGCTGCCTGGCCCCAGCACTAGGAGTGCAATGTTTTCATGTTGCTGCTCTCTTACTGGCCTGCCGTGGAGAAGCTGAGCCAAGCGGAGCCGAAAGGAAACCCAGCAGCCGCAGGATGATGAGCTCAGCAGCAGTGGGCGGAGGAAAAGAAGAGAACAATTAGCCAAACGAAAGTCCCAACCATATGCAGGTGTGAGTACCACAATTGTGATTCCCTTCTCCGGTGGTGATCCGTATGGGGCAACGAACCGTGCTAGTGGTGTGCCGAAATGAATGGCGTGGTACACAACGCGAACGAAAACGATTGATCTGAGTACGTAGGGGGACTGAACGCAGGTGAATCTGAGCGCGAGTGCGTCTGACTGTGAATGAATCTGCGTGCGAGCGAGTCTACGTGCATGAATGCGAGTATGCCAATGTATGGTGCAAGTGTATATGAATGCTACTAGTTTGTGAATGACTGCCTCTGAGTACTCGTGGCGCGGGGCGTGGCCGCCGCAAGGAGCCTCCCCGGGACTCCCCGACGGCATCGCCCGCGCGCCGCGACGCCACCGCGAGGATCGCGCCCGATTCCTCCCCTTCTTTTACTCCCTCTTTGCCCGCGCACTCAAAAGTCCAAAGCTGCGGGCGCAGCGCAGCGCGGAGTCCCAGCGACGCGCGCAGGTCGCCCCGGAGGGGTCCCAGCGACGCGCGCGGGTCGTCAGCTGCGCGCAGCAAAGAGAGCTAGCCGGCTGGCTGATAGCGGGCAAGGCTCTTGCCGCTGGGCAGAGCGACGACGGGCGAGGGAGGCGCGGAACTCCGACGGCCTCCGACGGAGGTGTACTTGGTGGGGGAGACGCGTGCGGACTGCGCCACGGGGACCTTCGGTGGAGCTCCCTATGGGGCCACGAAGCGCGTGAAGGGTGTGCCGAAATGAGTGTGCGGAACGAATGCGGGCACACCCACTCGGACCTTCGGTGGAGCTCCGTATGGGGCCACGAAACGTGTGAATGGGTGTACCGAAATTGGTGTGCGGGACGCATGCGGGCACACCCACTGGGACCTTCGGTGGAGCTCCCTATGGATCCACGAAACGTGTGAGGGGTGGGCCGAAATGGGTGTGCGGGACGCATGCGGGCACACCCACTGAGACCTTCGGTGGAGCTCCCTATGGGGCTATGGAACGTGTGAATGGGTGTACCGAAATTGGCGTGCGGGACGCATGCGGGCACACCCACTGGGACCTTCGGTGGAGCTCCCTATGGGGCCACGAAGCGTGTGAAGGGTGTGCCAAAATGGGTGTGCGAGACGCATGCGGGCACACCCACTGGGACCTTCGGTGGAGCTCCCTATGGGGCCACGAAACGTGTGAGGGGTGTACCGAAATGTGTGTGTGTGTGTGTGTGTGTGTGTGTGTGTGTGTGTGTGTGTGTGTGTGTGTGTGTGTGTGTGTGTGGGGACGCATGCGGGCACACCCACTGGGACCTTCAGTGGAGCCCCCTTATGGGGCCCCGAAACGTGTGAGGGGTGTGCCGAGATGGGTGTGCGGGACGCATGCGGGCACACCCACTGGGACCTTCGGTGGAGCTCCCTATGGGGCCACCGTGTGAGGGGTGTGCCGAAATGGGTGTGCGGGACGCATGCGGGCACACCCACTGGGACCGGATGGTGTGAGCCAAAATGGGTGTGCGGGACGCATGCGGGCACACCCACTGGGACCTTCGGTGGAGCTCCCTATGGGGCCACGAAACGTGTGAGGGGTGTGCCGAAATGGGTGTGCGGGACGCATGCGGGCACACCCACTGGGACCTTCGGTGGAGCTCCCTATGGGGCCACGAAACGTGTGAGGGGTGTGCCGAAATGGGTGTGCGGGACGCATGCGGGCACACCCACTGGGACCTTCGGTGGAGCTCCCTATGGGGCCACGAAACGTGTGAGGGGTGTGCCGAAGTGGGTGTGCGGAGGAGGAGGGGGGGGAGGAGGAGGAGGAGGAGGAGGAGGAGGAGGAGGAGGAGGAGGAGGAGGAGGAGGAGGGGAGGAGAGGAGGAGGAGAGGAGGAGGAGAGGAGACGCGGGCCACCGTCTCTTCAAAACGAGGACCCAACAACACAGGTTGGTTGGGAACCAACTTAAATCCAAGACGCATCAACGATGCTGCAATCAACCCTCCCTCCAAGTTCCCTCTTCATCGGTTCCTACAGTCATATCACAGTGAGGGGACTGAACCGAACGGTCATTCAATGTCCCTGGGTGCGTGGCTACAAAAGAATTCTGCGATGCGGATTCCTGTTG